ACCTGACCCGAGCCACGGTATTCTCCATTGCACCATGTGCACGTGGAGGTTGGACGCTGACTAAGGATGACCACAGCAGAAGAGATGTCTTTGATTTGTAAAGGTGGAGAAGCTCCAAGGACTGCTGAAAGGACAAGCCAATCTGTATTGAAAGAAGTAAGGCCAGAGTGCACCTTAGAGGCAAGGATGGCAAGATGTTGTCTTACCTTCTATGGACATATTGTCAGGAGAGATACAACCCTGGAGAAGGACATCATGCTTGGTAAAGTGGAGGGTGGAAAAAAGAGGAAGGCCTCGGGAGGATTGACACAGTGGCCGTATCAACGGGCTCAGGCAAAGGACCATTATGAGGATGGTGCAGGACCATTGTAATGTTTCTTTCTGTCATGCATCAGGTCGCTGTGGATTGGCGCCAACTGGATGGAACCTAACAATAACATTTAGAGGGGGACTAAGCAGCCCTGGTGATGTAGTGGGCTATGCATTGGACTGCTAACCACAGAGTCAGCAGTTCAAAATCACCAGTTACTCCAAGGGAGAAAGATAAGGATGTAATAATAATACCCATCTCTTAGTGGACGTGCTAATACATCTCAAATGCTATATAATAGAGTGGTAGGTAACACACTATATGTTGCATACACGTTTTAACAAAAATTATCATAATTATAATTATCAATGTCGTTATTCTTCAGAGACAGTTGTTTCAGAATACACTGTCTGCACTGTATCCTTTTGGGTGGTTTTTCATTGAATTGCAGCCAGGGAAAGGGTTGCCATTGTTGACACAATTCCTTGCCCACATTCTGGATGAGAATGTAATATCAAATCCAGCTAGGCCTCACAATATTGATTTTCGGAATCTTCCTGTTTAAAAGGAAAAAAGAAAAAAAAATCCTGTGCTGCTTTTCTCAGGCTATAGTTTTTCTAATATATATATTATGGTTCACTTTTATTTGTAGTTTCTTTTTTTATTAGCATTGCAATAAATAAAGTCATTCTGAAAACGTTATAACCTAAACCACAAACATCAGTTTGCTGACCCACTATATTAGCTGTAATAAACCTGTCTCCTGGAGCAGGAAGAGAGATACAAATGTTTGAGGTTCACATATATTTCATGCTGCTGCACTCTGGCTAGATGCCAATTAAATTTCCTTTAATTCTACTTGAGAAACAGTGGGCTCCACTGCTTTCTGGAGGAGTTAGCTCATTTTAATTTTTAAAAAAATTTTACTCAAAGAACATGTGAATATGTATCATATCATTCAGTGTTTGGCATCATTAGGAGAAAATGTGTCTGTGCATGAAGGCAAGTAGTTTTTTTGATGTCAATATAGACTGTGGTAGTTAAAAAATCTGTTGTCAATTTGAGACTTACAAGTGAATGGGGTGGAGTTTAACCTGTCA